TTGATTTGAGCCCAATAATGTATCAATTTGATCGAAAGTAAATTAGATTGAGTCGATCGAGATCGACGAATAAAAAAATCGAGTCTGATTTGAGTTGAGTGATAGGTTCGAGTCGATGCTACGTCATTAGGTGTCCTCCTAAGGGAAATCCTGCGGGTGCGACATCTACACTAGGCTAAGAAAACCTAGGTACTAGAGTTGATTCTAGGGAAATTGACCTCAAATAATGAGGTCAACACTAAGCACTGTGGCACTAAATGGGAAATTGGTGTAGTGGCATTGGGTTCCTACGATGCTATGGTGCTTTTTTAAAATAATAATTTTTGAAAATAATAAGTGTTGCTTTACTCTAGGTCCCAATGATGTGGTGTTCCATGCCTAAATTAAACCTATAAGGTCTATTTATTAAGAAGGGTCCAATTATATAACAAAAATCATTCACTAGATATACATCAAATAATAAATTCACACATCACAACACAAATTTGGGTTGCCTCCTAATGAGCACTATGTTTATAATGTTCATCCAAACTATGCTACATTATATTTAAGATTAGCCAACTCAAATGAAACTTTACTATATTTTATATCCCATCCTAGGTAAGACTTTCATCTTTGTATGTTCACCTCAAAAGTTTAGGCAATTTTCTTATCCTGGATTTCTAAAGATTTATATGGATATGTTTTGACTATAGGAATGGACCATTCCACATCGACTTCAACTTCTCAAGAAATAATTTCAATCTAGAATTATATAAGAGAACTTCTCTTATGGTAAATTCCTTAATCAGACTTAGATGATGCCATCTTTTGGTTTTCTCCTTAGATATCTTAGCATTCTCATAAGCTCAATTTCTAAGCTCCTCTAGTTCATTCATCTGTATTAATCTCATGTCCCAAGATTATTTCAAATTATAATTAAACTCCTTAACAACCCAATAAGCCTTATGCTCTAACACTATTGGAAGATGACAAGTTTTTTCAAAAATAAGTCTATAGGGTGACATTCCTATGTGAGTTTTAAATGCAATCCTATATAAGCATCATCTAATCTTAACTACCAATCTTTTCTATTAGGGTTTATAATCTTCTCTAAATCCTTTTAATATCCTTATTACTAATTTCGGCTTATCCAGTAGTCTGGTGATGATAAGCAGTTGTTATCCTATGTTAAATTTTAAATTTTAAAATCACATCTTAAACTCTTATATTATAAAAATAACATTCCCCATCACTAATTAGTGTTAAAGGTATTCCAAATCTAGCATAAATATTTTTCTTTAAAAATTTAATAACTACCAAATCATCATTTTAAAGTATTGCCACTACTTCAATCCGCTTTGACACATAGTAAACTACTATAAAAATGTATTAATTTTCAAAATATATAATGATAGGGACCCATGAAATCCAATCCCTACATCTCAAATATGTAAACCTCTAATTACCGACGTTTTGTGTGCGCCGAAAATTACCGGCGCATTCTGCGGCGTATTTTCCGCCGGCGATTACTGGCGTATGTTTATGTGCTATAAACCAACCGTAGGTTATTTACAGCTCACCAATGGCGCTTTATCCGTCGGTAATTACCGGCGGACTCATGCGATGCAAAGTTCCGGCGCAGTTAGCGCCGGAATTTACCGGTTGAAAGTCGTCGGCTCCACAACATTCTTTGTGCCAGTAATGCGCTGGAACCATTTTCGGCGCATTATAAACGTCGGAAGATATTTATCGATGCGCACCAAACCGACGCAGGAATATCCGCCGGAACGTGCGCCAGAAACACTAATTACCGTCAGATTTCACATATTATCGGCGGATTTTATCCGCCGGTAATATAGGAATTTCTTGTAGTGTGAAGGGACCCATGAAATCTAATCCCTACATCTCAAATATGTAAACCTCTAATATATAGTTCAAGGGAATTTCATTTCTTCTTGTAATATTTCCTACCCACTAACATTTATCATATTTCTTAGCATATTCATTAACATCATTAAATAAAGTTAGTTAATGAAATCCATACCATAAAATTTTAGTGGAAATTTTATATCCTCCATAATCAAAATCATAACAATGGCTAATAATGCTATCAATCTCTTCTAAAGAGATACATCACCTAATGATTTTATCCATACATTTCCTAAAAAGATATGGCTTATACTAAAAATAAAACTTAGCATCATGAGTGAATTTGCGCCTTAAGGTATATGACATATCAAATGCTAAGATATTATTAATAATATAGTTCACTATATCAGCATACTGAGGCAAACCTTTGTTAGTTATTGTAAATAATTTATCATATGGGAATAGTTTATTAATATCATATTTATCATGCATAGTTTTTTGCAACTCTAATCTAGATAAATGATTGTCAACCTAGTTTTCTATTTTTTCCTATCTAATATCTTCACATGAAACTCTTGTAATAATAGAATCCATCTTATTAACTTGAGTTTTGCATATTTCTTTATTACAAGGTACTTTATTATAGAATAAGTAATGTATACTATGACTTCTATGCTAATCAAATAGGATCTAAAGTTGGAAATGCCAAAGACTTTCATAGTCAGTTTCATCACACATGATTTCAAATTTAAGTGACCAATCAAAATCAATAATAATGGGTAATGAAATAAAATTCTTCTTCAGAGTTTTAAAGGATTTAAGGCACTCATCATTAAATTCAAAAGGAACACCCTTTTCAAAAAAAAAAATGATACAACGGTTTGGTAATTTTGGAAAAGTCCTTAATAAATCTCCTATAAAAATTGGTATGTCTTAGAAAACTCCTTACTCCTTTCATAGAGATAGGAGAAGGAAAGTTTTATATTACTTAAAATTTTTACCTTACTCACCACCAAATCCTTCTCAATAGTTTATTTTCCAAGATAATACCCTCTAAGACCATGAATTGACACATCTCACAATTCAACACTAAATTTGATTTTTCATATATTTTCAAAACAATAGCTAAGTGCTCAAGATAAGAATAAAATCAAGTACCAATTATAGAAAAGTCATCTATAGAGATCTTAATGCCTTGGTCAATCAAATTTGAAAAGATAAACATCATAAACCTTTGAAAAGTTATATGGGATTTGCATGATAAAAAAGGAATTCTGTGAAAAAAATGTACAATATAGGCAAGTGAATATGGTTTTGTCCTTATCTTCAGGTACTATAGGAATCTAATGATTTATTAAGTAGCCATATAAGAAATAGTAAAATGGTTATACTACTAATCTATCAATCATCCGGTCAATAATTAAAAAAGGAAAATGGTTTTTTATAGTGGTCTTATTAAGTTTCTTAAATACATATCCTCCATCCAGTGGCTATTCTAGCTAGTAGGAATCAATTCAATCATTTCATTAGTCACAAATATAAAATCCCTTTCTTAGGCACATAGTGAATGGGACTAACCCAAACCCTTTCAAAGATAGAGTAAAAATATAATTGCATCAAGACATTGAGTATTTCTTTCTTCATATCCTCCTTTATGATAGTCTTCAACCTTCTTTATGGATCAGCCTTTGGTTGGGAGTCTTTTTCAATCAAAATCTTATGCATGAAAAATGATGGACTAAACCCCTTAATATTATTTATCATCCTATCAAATGCTTTCTTATAAGTTATAAGAACCCTAATCAACTTAGCCTCTTGATCCTCATATAAATCAATAAAAATAATAATATGTAAGATTGATCCATCTCCCAAAATGCATAATTTAAATGGGTAGGCAAGGCTTTCATCTCTAAAGCTAGTGTTTATAAGATAGATGGTTTCAATGATTTCCCTAAAGATAATGTCTTTAATGTCTTATATCTCTCCCTAAAAACTCTAGGGACATCATTTAACACGTGAGTAATATCTCTCTTAATCTTCCCCATGTCATCGTCTATCAATAAATGCTCCAATGAATAATCAATTAGTATCTCATCCATAGAATCCTTCACACATTCATCCACCAAATCCATTCTATAACATTTATCCTCAATATGATCCTTAGGAAATTACATAGACTTTAAAACATTAAAGGTCAACTTTTAATCAAACACTCTCATAGTTAATTGCCCCTTCTTCAATAACTCTTATA